TATAGTATTTTGTGAGCAAATTATTAAAGGCAAACATTAGAACATTGTGTAAAAGGTGAAAATCTCTAAAAAATAATAAATAACCTAGAAGAAACGTGGTTGTGTTTAAAGAGCGCTACGTTTTGCAGTCAAATAATTGCACAGTGTTACCAAGATGCCTGATAAATGTGAATGTGCTTAGATTGGAAACATCGGGAATATATTTCTATGTCCCAAACCACCATAACAAAATAAGTAAATCAAGCCAAACTTGGGACTTGTGGATAATGCGAGCAAAAGGGGAGCACAACAAAAAACCTATGATGATGTGGCATGTGAGAAATGCAATATATTGCTTAAGAAATTTACAGAACAGCTTGAGGTAAATCAAAAGTTGCAAAATGAACTTAACGATTTAAAGAAAAAACTTTACAAAAAAGAACAGGCTGCACTAAAAATAAAAATAACCAGAGACACAAACCGAAATTTCAGTGATTACCTTGGAGGTGACCTTGTAAAACAAATTTACTAGTAAACAATTGGGCTATAAAAACAACGCAAAAGTTTACCTCAACCTATCGAAAACAAATTTTGATATCTATAAGGCAGCAAAGTTGTATAAGAAACAAAGAAACTACAAATTCTTATGTATTGGTAGTGGTAACATCTTTTAAGAAAAGATGAAACCTCTAAAGTGTGTCTGGTTGAAGATATAGATCAACTAAAAAACCATAGAGGCCTCGGAAAAAACTCAACCTTGTATATATGAATACTCAAAGTTTAAGCAATAAGATAGAGTGCAGTTGTAACTAATAATGACTGCGATATTCTTCTACTAGAAGAGAAATGGTTAAATTATCAAGAAACTTTTTTATACAATCTTAAAAATTATGGAACAATTCATTCGTGTAGGGATATCAGAGAAGGAGGTACATCCATATACGTTAAATAAACTATGCCATTTCGATAGTTCAAGTGACAGTGATAAAATAAACTGGGTCTGTGTTGGTGTCGGAGATAAGAATCTTAAAATAAGAGTTGAATACAAACCATCCTCGTACAGTAGCACAGACTTCCTTTACTAGAAAATATTCCACAAAAGTACCCCAAAAATCACTTAGTAATGGGAGACCTTAATGTTAATTTATTAGATCAATCTAGAGATGTACTACAAAAATGTAATTATTCTTAGTAATTTTAATATACATAATACTATAATACAAGAAATACAAAGAGCAAAATGGATCATGTTTTTTCTGACAATAATCTTAACACAAATTAAAATATTTTCTAAAAAAATCAAAAAAGACATTAAAATAACGGATTATCAAAAATTCCAAATTCCAAAGCATAGGAAAATTATTTAATGAGAATGTCTCATCGCAACGAAATAGTGACTGAATTTCCAAATTCCAAAAAATTAGGACAAGTGCCAAATACAAACCGAAGCAGTACAGTTCATAATATTTCAGCATACCATCTTTCCGATACAGAAGTCAGCGTACTGAATAAAGGATTTAACTATGCAATAGCTCCAAAAAGGGTACCCGTCGAAGAGATCGTTTCCAACGTCGAAGCAAGTCTTTCCACCATAGACGAACAAGATGCGGAGTTAATTAGGCAAGATGTCGCCAGAGTCTTAAGACAGTCAAAACCACCGCAGCCAAACTTAAGCAGAGAAGAAATGCAAGCCTTAAGGAACCTAAACAAAAACGAAAACATTCTAATAATGCCAGCAGACAAAGGAAATGCCACTGTCGTCCTGAATACGTCGGATTATAATGCAAAATTGGAGGATATTTTAAACGACCCAATATACAAACTAGTCACGACATATTTGGAAAAAACAACTAAGACCAAAATTCTCGATTCATCAATAAACGAGGATACAAAGAAGAAACTTATTCCGAGGGAAAAATCGAGTCGTTGCCCAAAATTCTACGGGTTCCCAAAGATCCATAAGGACGGGGTTCCCCTGCGTCCAATCGTAAGCGCCTTTAACTCACCATTATGCAAGCTGGAAAAACATCTGGCCAGTGCACTTCAGCCTATAGTGGAAAAGGCAGATTCCTATGTTAAAAACTCAGAACATTTCACTCAGATTTTAGGTTCTCTCAGGATGGACAAGGACGACATTATGGCAAGTTTCGATGTCAAATCCCTCTACCCGAGTATTCCAGTAGAAGAGGCACTCTTGCTTATAGAAGAAAACGAAGATCTTCCGCCATACATAATGGATCTGTCAAGACATTGCCTGAAAAACGCTTACTTTATGTACAACGGGAAAATTTACCGACAAATAGATGGAGCAGCAATGGGATCATCTCTCTCACCTGTGATTGCCAACCTCTTCATGATTTACTTCGAAAAGAAAGCACTAGAGAAGGCAAATCTGAAGCCAAAACTATGGACAAGATACGTTGATGACGTATTTGTTGTATGGCCTTTTGGCAAGGAGGAGCTTTTGAAATTCCTAGATCATCTGAATTCCATTCACCCAAGGATTCAATTTACAATGGAACTTGAAGAGGATAACAGTCTGCCCTTTTAAGATGTGCACATCACAAGGGCCGAAGATGGACACTTGGAACACACTGTCTATAGAAAACCAACACACACTAATAGATATCTGAACGCTAAATCTCATCACCACCCATCACAGATACAGGCAGTGGCAAATACATTAATTGCTCGGTCCTTCAGGCTCACAAACGAGAGGAACAGAGATAAAGAACTGAAGAAAATTAGTACCTGTCTTCGACAAAACGGATACCAAAGGCGCACCATCAGCAAGGCAATCAGTAAACAACAACAGCCGCAGCAGAGAGTGCAGGACGAGACCCAACGAAGATCGATCGCTGTCCTGCCATACATCAAGGGGGTTACTGACAAAATCGGCCGAGTATTACGGAAACACGACATATCAACGGCATACAAACCTGACCATACCATCGGAGCAATACTAAGAAACCCAAAACAAAAAATTACTCTGGAAAACCAAGGAGTATACAGTGTAGCATGCGGATCGTGCAGCCTGACGTATGTGGGACAGACCAACAGAAGGATTTCAGCCAGGCTCGAGGAACATCGTTTAGCCATAAGAAACAAACAAACAACATCTGCTTTGTTTCAGCACCAACATCAGACAGGCCATAAAATTGATTTCGGCACTTGCAAACAAATAGCTAATATTCCTGATTTTAGGACTAGGATTATACGAGAGGCCATCGAAATAGAAAAGTCCGGACACCTCAATACGAGAGACGACGCTCTGCATTTATCCAACACATGGAAAACGATAATTAAACAACAGAGCGATGCGCAGCAGCCAACGGGGACATCGCAACTACGATCGGGCGAAATTAACAACGCGACAATTCGCACGCACAAGCAGCACCGTTACCATCTCCGGCGCAGAGTATAAATACCGCACGCACCGCCGATAACCTCCCAGTGTCCGAAGTGTTTTCGGAGCGCGAGCGTTGAAGATGCCAAGTGAGATTTTGGCGAAACGTCTGCAGGATTCCAGTCGGAGTTCAACGAGCGAACGGATGATATATATATATATATATATATATATATATATATATATATATATATATATATATATATATATATATATATATATATATATATATATATATATATATATATATATATATATATATATATATATATATATATATATATATATATATATATATATATATATATATATATATATATATATATATATATCTATCCAAATCCCCTGGAGAAAGTTAGTAAATTTAAATATCTAGGAATAGACGATACACTAAATTGGTGTGAACATACAGAAAAAATTACCAATTTACCAATACAATTCTACCTATGATCTCATTTTTATTTAAGTGTAGGAATTATTTAACCAACAAAATCAATGATCTACTATTCTTTCTTTTTATCACAGTGAAGATATCAATTTAGAAGAAATCAATTTCAAGAAAATGCAAAACAAAATTTTAAATATATTATGTACTTATGACAAACTCCTTTATATAGAGGATTACGTATGCATAAACTCATAAAAATACTTCAAATTGAGCAGTGTAAACTTATACATAACTATGAAACTAGAATAATAAATGATATATGCCAAGTTAATATCAGAAAAAAAATATAATATATAATTTCGATTTATAGCTAATAATTTACTCGGGAGAAGAACAATTTTCTGGGTCTTTTAGTTTTTTGGCAATAATTGAAAAACCCTGTTTACAACCGAAAAAGTACTTGAAATAAAATTGATAGCACCGCATCTTCCGCGTCTCCTGGTTAAATAATTTTGTCAATAAAGTTAATAGTTTTCGAAAAAATATTTTTTTTCTGGAAGACGAAATAATTCAAAAAAAAAAATCTAAAATATATTTTCACAGTTTAGATATGGGTATGGACTTTTACTTCTCTGCTAAATTTGAAGTCGATAGCTGCAAATTTGAGACACCTATTACATTTTTGAATATAGCACAGAATATCTTCAACATCCTCTATAATATGTGAAATCTTAATTACAAAAGTTCTAGCTGACAATGGTCAATTATCACTTTAAGGGAACCCAATTTTCAGTTTTTTGCGAATACCGGGCACACCCTGTGCATTTTTGAAAACTGTGAAGAAAAGAGGTTTATAAAATTTGATCTCTAGGCTCTTCTGGTTCAACATTTTTTTCGATCACATAAACACTCACAACTCACAAACAGAAAATTTTTTTTTCTTCGATGCTAATCATTTCCGTACCAATAGCCGTTCCCTTGGGCCTATTATTGCCGAGATATAAAATTTTTATAAGACCGTAGATACTTTCGAAAAAATTCCATTGTATCGTATCGTATATTTTTACTGTATTTTCTTTGTTTTGTGCATGTGTTATGATAGGATATGAATAAAACTAACCAATCGAACATATAAATCACAACACTAAAGTGTATGACAACATTCGTATATCATCATTCGGAACCGTATCCGAGAACTACCTAAATTCTAAAGGGATCGAAACTTACCGGTGACAAGGGCGATGATCCAAATAACACATATCGCAGTTTTGGCCCTTCCGGTCGTCGATTTAAATTTCAATGGGAAGCAGATTGCGTACCAGCGATCCACAGAAATGAATGCCAGCGTTAGGATTGACACAGTGACCGAAACGTTCTGGAACAATGAAAAATTAGTCACATTCGATCTATCGGATTACACTTCCGCTGTATTTTCGAAGTTTGCTGCAAGCGAGTTGTGTTGCACGTGTCCATAAAGATATGTTACCGAAATTCCTCGCAAGTGAGCAAAATACAGAACAAGAAGTATTTGAACAACAAAAATTATTATAAAACGTGGCTGTATATGTTTCGGCCATATTCAGAAATAATTTTTAACTTAAAGTTGTTATTAGATTAGGATACATTTTTGGCGGCACTGTATAAGGTGGAGAGACTTTTATAATTGAGAAATAAAATATGGCCCTGTTGCGTCCAATCGGAATTGTTTTGTTTTATTTTTCCTCTTTAATTTTTGTAATTGGGGAATTTTTATATCGAGCAAATTGAAATTGGTTTTCATTTAATAATTTGCTGCGGTTATATTCTCCCCGTATTTTGGTGACAATCTCACTGGGTATATGGCCAGAAAAAACTTGTTTGTCGCTTGGGTGTCGTACTCCGCTGTGATCGGGACTAGTGCGACTCAGGTAGAGACCAACGTGAGAGCATTTTCCGAGTGCCAGCATTAAAATCTCGAGTGCCGTCAAGTATTGCGAAATTGTGCCGGTCAACAGCCAGAGCTACATCAAGGTAGGCCAAGAAGGAAAGAGATTGTCATTTTTCGCCTCGTTATATCAATATATTATTTTTTGAATCGCCGCGTTATTTCTAGCTTCAATTTTACAAAAAATTACAGTCCATTGCTCTTTCTCGTCCAGGCCCATTTTACTGCAGATTTCACTTGTAAACGTTATTGAAACATGTAGTTATTTTCGTCGTATAATTTTAAAACGCTGTGATATATTTTTGGGACGACCTGTATTTATTATAGAATTTTACACATCGCACTAGTAAAACTTTTTGGCCATAGCAGCCGATGCTGTATAGTGTGAATAAGCCTGTATATATAAAAGATAATTTATTTGACCTAGAAAACCAAGGAGATATCATACCTTTTCACAACAAATATGGATTCCTAATTAGGAGAGTAGCTATAGAGCCGAGCAGAGTACACATATGAAGTTATTTTCAGTAAAATAGACATTTTTCATATATTCCCCATCAAAACGGAGAGCGTAAATTTTAATTTGGCAACGAGCGGACATTTTTCATCGTTCGAAAATTGAATGACGAAAATCGTGTAAAAAATGGCCGCGAAAAACGCGCGGACGCATGAAAAATTCACGAGAAAAGGATAAACAGTGGCAAAAAATTTATCGGCCACCGACGCCGACAAAACCGGATTTTTCCGGGCGTTTCGAACAATAGCTCCTCGACGTTTTTCCCCTCCATAAGTTAAATCCTATATCGTAGCAATAGATCGCCTACTATCAAATTTTCAGTTGAAACGAAATTCAAACGACGCGTTATGAATCCAAAATGGAATTATATACGCAACTCATATACTGCAAGGTAGAATTGGCAGAGAAACCGAAAAATATTGAAAAAGATTATACAATTTTGTAAACAGTCGAATACACGGGGTGTAACAAGTGTGAAACTAAATAAACTACATACACTACATAAACCTTGACTCAAAAGCTAAGGTTTATCAAATATGGGCCAAATATGGTTTTTATTTTTTATCTCTAATAAATATTATTATTATTGAGGGGAGGGGATTTAATTATACTGCGATGACATAAAAAATCAATTTTTTTATTTAAAGTTTTATTTACCTTTGCCATTTATAGAACGCATTCTTTGTCAGCTATTCGGGCGTTCGTTATTTAGTTTAGCGTTTTACGGTCTTCGAAATTGGCGGAAACAGAAAAGCGACATGTTGCACTTAATTGGTACATTGCTACATTACAATGTTCGAAATTAGGTTGGTGCTCTTTGTTTTTTTTCTTATTTTGACGAAGTTTAGTAATATTTAGAAAAAAAAATTAAAAATCGCTAGAAATAATTTTTATGACTTTAAAAGAAAACAATAGTTTATTAACTAACTGCTATCTGGCAACCCCTGAGGCACGGATTCAAGTGATGTTCATGTCAGAGCTCTCGAAAAAAAAATTTTGACCCTAATTACTGTGTTATTCTCAGAGAAAAACAATCTGAAATATCTCGACCTGTAAGGAGAAAACATTATTGCTTATCAAAACGTCGGAAATTTCGTAAGGCACATAGAGACATTGTGATGAATTCCAAGTACAGAAAATTTTGTGGCTAAGTAAAAAATCGAAGAAACGGATTAAAAGATTTCAGTCACCTTTGACAAACTGATTAAAATGCGGTACATACAGCTGATTATATCGACATTAAAAAAGAAAATCCTCTCAAGGATTATATGGAAAATTTCTAGGGCAATTAAGGTTTCGAAAGAAACCTTAAAGAATTTTGCTTACAACATATTCAGTAAAAAAACAATAATACCTGTAGCGGAAAATATCAAGTTTGATTTCAAAAAAAAAGTAACTTCCCGTCTAGTTTTGGTTAGCATCTTTTTGGTTTGCCGGAAACATTAAATCCAATTGGAGAATGTACTTGCGCTTGGGGTACCATCGTTCTTGACTTCCGCCAGATTAAAAAAATAGTTTACAACTATTGCTTTATTTATGGGTTTAAATGAAAAAAACCCAATCAGAATTTTATCGTTTGCTAGACGACGTTTACCAAACTACTTATGTGAACAAGTTATTTATACTTCCGCAACACAAATAATCAAAGTCATAATGAAATAAGAGTAGGTTACATCAATTGCTGCGGAAGAAGATAATAATACAAAAAACGAAAACGTAAGTTGTTACCGTGAAGGACGATCAAAAACAAATAACAGAACCTTTTTTCAAAAAACATATTAAAAATAAAAATCGTTTAAATCGTGAACTGTCAATCGCCTCTTCTGTTGCAGTCATAAAATCAGTGATAGGTCCTTGGTAGGCACGGTTTGGGCAATCTTTCACTATGTGAGTCACTGTTTGATTATTGGCCCCGCAGTCGCATTCTGGCGAGGTTATCCATCCCCATTTATGAAGAGCGTCAGCACATCTGCCATGGCCAGCACGTATTCGGTTCAATGTAGTCCACACTTTTCGAGGCAAGTCAGATCCAGCAACCTTCTCTGAAGTAAGGAAAGTTTGAAAGTGCGATGGGCATTGTTCCTGCCATCTTTGTTGCCAGGCGTTCGCTGCGTTAAAATTTGAGTCCAACAGCTCTTTAGCGGTGATTAGCGCTGGTTTCCTCGACTTCAGTCGTTTGCGCTCTAGATCGCCTATTTCATTGTGTATAGGTAGCTCTGTATTATTGTTTATTTTCTGATACTCCCTAACAAGGCTGTTTTTACGTCGAATTTCAGGTGGCAGTATGTGGCTCAGGAAAGGCAGCCAAGCAATTGGTGTGGACTTAATCGTGCCGCTGATTATGCGCATTGTGTCGTTCAGTACAGTGTCGATTCTCTCAGTGTGCGGGCTGTTAATCCACACTGGTGCGCAGTATTCCGCCACAGAGTAGACAAGACCGACTGCCGATATACGGAGCGTGTCCGCTGAGGAGCCCCAGGTGGTACCACACAATTTATGAATGATGTTAGTCCTTGTTCTCATTTTGCTTGCGGTCTTTATCAGGTGTTCCTTGTAGGAGAGCGTCCTGTCCAGTGTGACTCCTAAGTATTTGGGGTGGTTGTTATGGTTGAGGCGTTTTCCTTCGAAGTTGATGGTAAGCTCTCTCTTCGCTGATTGGTTACAAAGGTGGAAGCATGACACCTCTGTTTTAGTGGGGTTGGGCAGCATTCTCCATTTGTGACAGTAGTCGCTCATCAACCTTAAGTCGGAGCCAAGAGTCTTTTCAGTGGTCTCGAACTTCTCGTGTTGAGCGGCTAAAGCCCAGTCATCTGCGTATCCAAATTTTGTAGATTGTGTGTTTGGCATATCCGAAATGTAGAGGTTAAACAGAAGTGGGGCGAGAACTGAGCCCTGTGGCAGTCCATCGTTTAGTGTTCTTGTTCTGCTTGTCCTCTCTCCAATTACAACATTGAAAGTTCTCCCTGCGAGCATATTGTCGGTGAGAACTGTCCTAACATTTTTACAAAGCAAACATTGCTAGTAATAAAAACTTACGTATGCAATAAATTTTTTTAAAAATGCTGATCCGAAGAAGATAATTTAGAAAAGGCTCCTTCATAGTTTACTAATGTTCATTCAAATCTCAAGTAGAAAAAAGTTCGAGTGATGCTCATTTAAAGCTTTTGAAAAATGTTTTTGAGGGATACTAGAAAATCTACATTTTATAAAATTCTTCTCGGTTTGAGGTAAATGAACGAAAACTTTTGAAATATTTCATTTTCATTTCATTAAATTATTTCTTATTTATTTAAACATTCAACAAAAATTGTTTTTGTTTTCTAGCAAACTAAGAATTTTATAAAATGCTTTATGATTAAAAAGCGTTTTTCAAAAGCTTTAAAATAAGGCATTCCTCAGCTCCTTATTTAAAATTTGAATTGAGAATCTTCCTGTGTCCAATGGGTTGCAGATTGGGCTTAATTAACCTACATTTTGTGTTCTCACTTCCCTGGGTAGAAATTGTTTCACTCGATTTTGGAATTCGGATGTGAATTTTGCCCTCTCCAAGGGATTGCAAATAAGGGATAAGATAAAAACAGAATTAAATATAAAAGTCTTTATTTATCATATTTTATACACAATGATCAAATGAATTAAAATAAAATAGATTGCATCAATTAAATAAAAACGACAACTTTTTCGTAGCAAAAATTTGGAAACAAATAAAATAATGTTCATATAAGATCCGTTAACATTGGTAAACTAAAAAGAAAACATTTCTAAATTTGTAAATAACACGCCTTCAGACCTGTTATTTTTTATTAAATTTATTGCATATGTAAACTTTTATTACTGGTCATGTTTTGTTTGTAAAAATCCCAAGATCACTTTCGATTAAGTTCATTACCCCTGCTTTTTTGCCGAACACACTCACCAACGAAAAATGCGAGAG